AATAGATATATAGACAGACAGACAGGATGGGGGGTATCATCTGCTCTCTGAGTCATCACGTAGTGTGTGTTCTGTCTCTTGGATAGTGTTCAAAACACTCTGTATATCCTGACAGAATTATCCATGGCTCCTCGCTTTATCTATCTCCATCTGTCCGTCTCTTTACTTTACCCATCTGAATCCCTCCATACCGGTCTGTTCTTACTGTTACATAATTGTTGAGGTAATTACCGTCTTTTAGTAAATACATGAATACATTCAAACTTAGTTAGCTACATGTTTTGAAATAAGACCTTTTCTTTTTTATGTCTGGAGGTATGTCGATCGATTGAAATATCTAATTCAATTCAATATTTTAATCCATGTACAAAGCCCCGCCTCCAATTTGCTTCTTCAAGGTAGCATCACATATTTTTCGGCTCAGTCGAGTGAATGGAGAGAAAAATAAACTCAGCTTTTAGCTAATTGTACTACATTTATGACCCAATGCGGTACAAAGGCCATTCAAGTATTCACACTGGGTATCTGATTTAGCTCAAAAACGTAATATGCTAAAGTAAGAGACAGATGTGTCTTTCCCAATGTAAGTCAATGGGAAAAAGTTCTTGGGTACATTGACGTCACATTGACTGACCTAAGGTTTTCATTGTCATAACTACACTGTAGCTATGCGCAAATGGCAATAAAAGCCTTGAACCTTGAAATGCTCTGGCTCACTTCCTGGGTGCTTGTTCCTCCTCCTTCTCGCCATCTTTCATTATTCCACACCTCCTCTAATCCTTCTCTCATCTCTTGTCCTCCCAGGTCTGCTTTCTGTGTCCTACGACGAGTGGGACTACAACCTGGAGGCTCGGGTTCGTGACGGCGTGGCCATCATCACCATGGCAACGTCCACCATGATGATGGACCGTGGGCCGCACACCCTGCTGAAGTCCGAGTGCCACGGAGCTCCGGACAAGAAGTCCCCCATCTCAGGCAACCCCAACGAAGTGCTCAGGTGAGGGGAGGCTGGGGTTAATGTTTTAGTGTTTCCTGAGAGCCATTCTAAAACATCACTTGTTCAACACAATATAAGTCTAGCAGAGGTGGGAAGTAGTGGAGTACAAATACTTTGTTACTCTACTTAAGTATCTTGTATCTAGTATCAGTACTTTATTTCTGACGACTTTTTACTTTGACTTCTTACATGTTGAACACAAACACCTGTACTTTCTACTATTGATTTGAACACGATCCGTGTATCCATCATTTCCTGGTCTTCTCTAAAGAAGAGGGACCAATGAAAACGTTGTCATGTTGCCGTTGTTCAGCATGGAAACATTCATTAGCTAACAATGACATTATTGTTCTATTAATATAAAGGGAGGTCAGGTACTCTTTAAAACAGCTGCTAGTTATGGGTACTTTTTACTGAAGTACATTTCAAAGCCTCTTTACTTTGACTTGAGTAAAGAAGTTTAGTCAGTACTTCTACTTTTACCAGAGTATTTATAAACACGAGTATCTGTACTTCTACTTGAGTAAAGGATGAGTTTACTTTTGCCATCTCTGAAGTCTAGATGTTGAGGGGTGCAGTGATTATGTATTTTTGTCGGCTGACTCGGGAAGTTATCATCACGAGGCCTCCCTCGACAAAAAGCCAATGGGAGTTTACCATTGGGGGAAACAAACATGTCTGATATTAGATTTAATTGCATTTAGCTCACACTTTGGTCCAAATCGACTTCCTATAAGTGATACATACACGTTTGGTTCAGCAGAAACGTTTTGAGAAATCAACACCACTTTTATAATTGTTGAGGCATACATTCAATTGCCAGAACTAAAAGGCTTAACAATTTTGAAGCCAGACTTTTCGTTTGCACCATAGTATTTCTACACTGAGCAGAATGTGCTTTGTTCAGTCAGTAATAACAATGTTAAAATGTAAAAAAAAGTACATATTGCACATCAGTAGTGTCACTGCACAACAGCCTTGGTGTCTAGATGCTGGCACACACTCAAAACACATGCACCTTTCATCCCTTGCACTGTGATCATCGCCCCTCTGTAATAATACACACACACACACACACACACACACACACACACACACACACACACACACACACACACACACACACACACACACACACCCATTCTCATGCCCCCATCCTCCAGGAGACCCCCCCCCAGGAGACCCCCCCCCCCCCCAGCTGTCCGTCTCAGCAGCAGGTCTTTTGAACTGGTCGTGCAGCGCGGCGTCGCTCTGCTAGAAGCCTAATTGGTCCCAATGGCGTTTGAGTTGAGGAACAGTGGCCCCTGTCGCGCTGCAGAGCTCAGCATTGTGATGCGTTCAGGGGCCGTTTATACCCTCGGCCACCCTGCGTGTGTTAGATGTAGCTGTGTGTAGTTTTCATTGTGCTAAAGAGAAGGCCATATGTGTGTATAGGTATGAAAGGGTTTGAAAAGCAGCACTCACAAAGACATACATATTCTCGCACTGACACACACTTAAGTCGACATATACATACACTATTGTAGCTTGGTTTGAAATACTGATGTCCATTATGCCTTTGGAGAGATGACCGTATGTGATGAGTTTGTAAGGGACTATTTATCCAAAAGCATTATCTATGAGAGGAATGGTTAACCATACACTCACGCAAGGGCACTTTGCTTTGGATCGGCCAATCAGATTTGCTGGTGCCAAAATGGTGGAAAGTCAGGCATCAAAGTCTACACATCTTCCGTGGCACATAGAAAAAGAACGCCTGTTTGGACTCATTCTTGGCCATTAAAATGATAAAAAAAAGTACACTTAAATCTCTCTTCTGTACGTAGCACTGTCTCTATGTGAAGCTAATGCAGTAGCACTACATCTGGTTGGGCTTAAAGATAGGAAATGAACCTGCAGGATTATTTCTTTCGAGTTCCTTCATGGTTGAATGCACTTTGGATACAAGCATCAGCTAAACCAAATCGTATGTAAAGTGTTATAACTATGGGGGTAACAAATGTAACGGAATAAGTTCTAACAATTGGAAAAACGCACAAGGTTGTAGATACTCCTGCTGCTTTGTTTTTTGTTGGTGTCGATGTTAGTTCAGTCGGTTTTAAGTACAATTCTTTGTATTTTATCTTCTTGGTTAAAAGCCCCCAAAAAAGCCAACCAGACAGACTCCCTTGCTTACTTCAATCAGCCATTACTACAGAACAAGTAGTTAGCACATTCACCCTCTGCAGCAGAAACAGAGCCTGTAGAAACACACCTTGTTGGATGTGTCATTGTTCCGTTCACGCTCCGAGACTAACTGCATCCTGTACTCAGCGCTTTGTGGTCCGTTCCAATAAACTCCTCAGATGTCATTTCAACTCGTCTGTTTGTTCGGCTCTGAGATAACCTGGAGTTTATGGCAGCAGCTGTTGTCCCAGAATGCAATTCCCCTGTTCTTCTGGCGTCTTCTGCTCAACCCTACTGTGGTTTCTTCTTTGTGTCTTTACTCTAAAACGCTCCGCCATGTTCCTCTCTGTCCTCTCTCACTTGTTCCCCTCTGGTCTGCTTTCATACACCGGCTCCGCTTTGTTCCACTTTATTCTCTTCTGTCTGAAACGGTTCTGCTTCTTCCTGAGGTGAAAGAAGTGCTCTGATGTTTCACTTTAGTAAAGTTAGTAATACTGCAGTGGGAAAATACTAATTCAATATTGTATTCAAGTATGACCCATTTAGAGTCATATTTGTATCACATTATTGTGTTCAATGCGTTGTGCCTCACTTAATGAACGCACCAAGTAAAGGTGGGGTTTATTTTATGACTTTGTATCATTATTAATAAGTTGATTTATATTTTGAATTAAAAATAATTATCTGCAGAGTAGCAAGTATAACATTTGCCTACAAAATGTTCTCCTTTCCTTTCCTCTCTCCTCTCCTTTCCTCTCTTTCCTTTCCTCTTTTCTCCTTTCCTTCCATTTCCTCTTCTTCCTTCTTTTCTCCTTTCCTTTCAACTCATTTCCTCTCCTCTCCTCTTATTTCCTTTCCTATTCTTTCATATGCTTTCCTCTCCTCCCCTCTCCTCCTCTCGCCTCTCCTCTCCTCCCCTCTCCTCCTCTCCTCTCCTCCTCTCCCCTCATCTCCTCTCGTCTCTCCTCTCCTCCCCTCTCTCCTCTCATCTCCTATCTCCTCTCTCCTCTCCGCTCCTCTCTCCTCTCATCTCCTCTCCTCTCCTCCCCTCTCTCCACTCCTCTCATCTCCTATCTCCTCTCTCCTCTCCTCCTCTCCTCTCCTCTCCTCTCTCCTCTCCTCTCTCCTATCTCCTCTCTCCTCTCCTCTCCTCTCTCCTATCTCCTCTCCTCTCCTCCCCTCTCTCCACTCCTCTCATCTCCTATCTCCTCTCCCCTCTCCTCTCTCCTCTCCTCTCCTCTCCTCTCTCCTATCTCCTCTCCTCTCCTCCCCTCTCTCCACTCCTCTCATCTCCTATCTCCTCTCCTCTCCTCTCTCCTCTCCTCTCTCCTCTCTCCTCTCCTCTCCTCTCATCTCCTCTCCTCTCTCCTCTCCTCTCCTCCCCTCTCTCNTTAATAAGACCACTTTTCAAATTAACTCAGTCAATTCAAGTTGAAAACATTTTCTAACATATCTTAGTTGATAAGATAAAAGCCCAATGACTTATTTACAGAACAGCAGGGCCGCCCCTCCCTACAGGCCGATCACGCAGACTGCATGGGGCCTCGCCTCGCGGAGGGGGCCTCGCCTCGCGGAGGGTGCTTCATTTTGCGGAGGGAGCCTCATCTGAAGCGCAAATGCGGCGCACCTACAGTGTAATGCTACGTTCACACCGGACGCGATGTGAATATTCGCTTCGCTCTAAACGCTCCTATCGCCACAGTTTGGCCGCTGCGAGGCTCCACTAGCAAGTTTGGACACCCCTGATTTAAAGCTTTATGTCGTGGCTCATATTGTGACCCAGGCAGTTTGTGTAAAATGTTAACACCCCATCTGTGTGTTTGTGTGTGTGTGCAGCTACAGCACAATGCTGGCTTGTTGGGAGGCCGGACCCTCAGACCGACCCACCTTCACTAACCTGGTGGAGACCCTGGGAGACCTGCTGCAAGCCCGCGTTCAGCAGGTCAGGCTTTCTTCTTTTGATCTAGATTCTTCAGGCTTATGATGTATCTCTTAGCCAACCAATAACATTGATAAGCTTACAAAAAGACATACAAATTCATCTCTTTTACAGGAAGGGAAGGATTACATTCCTCTAGGGTCTTTTATGGCTGGAGATACTGGTCGCAGCGTGACATGCAAAGAAAACCCGCTTGCAGTCACAAACCTGAGGTAAGGACTCCTTAGAGAGGAAATAAAAACATTACACTATTTGATATACAGCATGTAGGTCTGAGCTGTGGTGGTGTAATGAATATGAGAAAAGGCAGCATGAACAAGATGGATGTGAAAGAGATGAGAGCTGTGAAAGGTAACTGAAACTCAATTCAGAAACAACAGGAAACAGGTTGAGAAAGAAGAAAAAATGCAATGTTTTGAATCCAAATCTTTTCCTCCAGTTACATGAGGGGTATGGCCACACTTCAGACATTTGAGGAACTTCCCTGCGCGGAGCCAGACAGCCTGAATGTAAGAAAACGTCTTCACTTCTGCTTGAATATACACACAAAAGAAACAGTAACTCTCTGACTATTTGTATGTTTGCAATCTGTGCTTCAGGATGAGCAGAGTGACAGCGGCATGGTCCTGCCGTCCGAAGAGCTGAAGCACGTGACGTGGAATAAATGCACCAAGGGCGAGAAATTTAGCAGGTAATCTGTAATCTCTCAGTGACTCGCCATTTAACGTTATGTCGTCTGTCACAAGAACACACAGTGAGGTTGCAAACAATCAAAAAATATACTTGTGATGTGAAGAAAACAGTTAAAGGGGACCTATCATGCAAAATGCACTTTGTGATGTCTTTTATAAATATGTGTCCCCGGTGCGTCGGGGAACTCACGCAGCGTCAGAAAATAAAACCCTCTCTCTTTTCCTCCGTACCCAAATCTTTTAAAACCGGGGGTACAACGAGCGGATACAGATTTGCTGCCGATCTGACGTCAAATCGGCAGCGGACCCACAGAAAGTTGCTATCAGAAACAATGCCTGACGTGTTTTGGACGTAATCTCGTCTTTGTTTACATTAGCAAGCCTCGCTAACACTCGCTAACCTGTACTGGAGAGCACATGTGTTTAAAAAGCAGGAAATAAAAAAAGGAACTCACCTTGTGATAAACCCGCAAGAGAAAAAGCATTTGAGCTCCATACTGTTTCAGAAATAATCCTTGATGTGGTTTAGAACAGGATGGCGTTTTATCACAGCAGAATTTATCTCCGGTAGAATTCTGATCAGGCATTAGCTCCGCCTCCTCTTCTTTCTTTTTTTTCAAGGTAAGGACCCAAAATCCGTGTTTCTCTAACAGGGCTGCAAAAGAGGGGTTTAAGCAGTATGAGGCATGGGTGAACTGTTTGGGATTTGAAGCAAAAAACTTCACAGACATGTTTTGTATAGGTATGGCCCTACGATATATGTTTCAAATATAGCATGATAGGTCCACTTTAAAAAACAATGCTTGAGAAAAATGGGACCAATTACACATATTTTAGTCTTGTCCCATCTTGCAAACTTTCTGGATTGATTTACACAACAGGATGATGTTTTTTCTGTCCGTGTGGAAACCAGTTCAAGGTCATTTGGACTGAGCCTGCCCCCTGATTCTGTGCTTGTTTTATTGAACTTTTTCCCGCAAAGCAGTTGACAACACAAAGAACACATTAAGGAATGGATATAATAAAAAGGAGGATAAAAAAGTGAAACAAATTAAAACATAAAGACACACCGACAACATCGAAGGAGGGGCTCAGGGCGAGTGGTGGATCTTCCCACATCAACGAATTCTGTATTTGACACATCTTAGTATAAGGATTGGGGGGCGGCGATTATATACAGCACCGTGGAGCAGTGCCTTGCTGATAGGCACCTTTGCAGTGGTTGGTAGCTTTAAGGGCTTGAACCGGCGACCCTCTGGTTCTTAAGCCACGTTGCTTAAGTAAGTGCAATTTATTTTTAAAGCGCTTTTCACAGACATAGTCACACAGTGCTTGACTAAACATTACAATATCATACGAATTAAGAAGTGCTAAAAACACAATACATTTTGAAAAACACAAACATAGAATAAAATCACACAAGTTACCCAAACAGGAATGTCTTTAAATGACATTTAAAAGAGTCTACAGACTCGATCACCACGGGTCTTAAGGCGAGTACGTCATACATGCCGGAGCACATTGAACACAGCGTGGTGTTCCAGCTGCGTGTAGCAGTCTGATACTCGGGGTTGTGACTAATGGAGATGATCACACATGACTTTGTAGTTTGCGGATAACAAACGGGGGATGCATAGAAATATGTAAATCACATCTGGTTTTACATTTCAGTCTGATGTCGAACGATGAAGAATCGGTCACGGCCATCTAGTCCACTCTTCAATCCGTTATACATTCACGCCGATCCCTCTCTGCTTTGCATTTCCTTAAAAAAACTCAACGGAAAACCACGAGAGGAGGACGCAACGCTAAGTAAATGAAGTCCAGTGTTGCCAGCAGTGTGATATTCAAGCTAAGGCCTGACAAATAAAGATAGCAGAAAATCATGACTGAGACTGCCAAGGCAACACGAGGGGATAGG